GCACCATGTGTCAAATTCCTTATATGACCTCTACAGGAATTGATGGCACTCAGTAGTTTGTAGGACAGCTCTAATTCATCTCCCTAAATTTAATAATTTAAATGTCTGGAGATTTCACTGAGTATTTTTGTGAGATGAGTTTTCATTTAAAATGTAGAACCTGGGAGAAAAAGCAAATTTTGAAAGAAACTTCTCTAAATCTAAGTATTAGGTTTCCAAAAATATAAACCCTGGAAAATAATCCTTTTAGATATTATAGGTATTCTTCCATTCTCAAATCTTTATATAAAACCAATGAATGCTTTGGAACGTTTAGTCCTCTGAACCCATTAAGAGGATCATGATAAGCTTTCTCTCCTCCCACACTTCATTTATCCTCTGCTAACAATGGCCACAGAGGAGACAAACTGGTAAGGATGCTTGAGGTGTTTAAATCCTACCTGCTGAAGTGAAACAAATGATTCATTTGCAAAGACCATGAAATGAACTTCCCCATCAGACAGACCCGTGCCAGAAGTAACCTATAAGTGAAACCCTGGGAACTTCTGCTAAGTTGTATTGCTATGGGAATACATCTACTCTTGACTTTTCTGTGTTCTGGTGATGAGTCAGTACGTGTTTTTCACTAGAAGAGTTTCCTTCCACAAAGCTTAAGGAGGTCTTCCAGATATCTAAAATTCCACAACCAAAGCAGTGGCAAACTGTAATGTCATCTCCACCCCTGCCTCAAGGTAAATTCACTGAAATTTAAGGCATTTGGGTCTGAAAAAGCAATGAAACAGGAGAACAGGACTTGCACCTGTAAAGGAAATACACCTGAGATAGTCTTATGGCTTCTTAGAAGAACTGATCTTCAATTACAGACTATCTAGGCTGACATCAGGGAGACGTAGCCATAAACTGCAACTGAACTTCCCCGTGGTGCCCGAACACTGGCTGGATAGCACATTGCACACCCGGCCAATAGAAAGCTAGGCAGTTACTTAAATCATATTTTTAGAAGATCAATTTGAGGATTTCACTCTTTAAAAGTCATGCAAGGGAAGAATTTCAGAACTGGTAGTGTAAGAATGAGAACACAATGTACTCAACTTAAAAGCTCAAATTTCTTCTAGTTATTTTGTTTGGGCAGTGCCTCCTTTGGAGCAGGAAACACTGTATGCTGAATTGTTGCAACAGGTAATTGAAGGTTTTTCCCCTGCAGTCCATTAGCCTGTGGATTTCCTGAAGTCCATCTGTTATCTGCTAAACTGTTATTAGATGAGCTGCTGCTGATTCTGGAACATACACCCTAGTCCCATGCCATTAACTACTGAGAGATAATTAAGAAATTTAAAAACTGGACAGTGATCATGACAAATTTGAGTCTTACCCTTGTGCATTTTAATTGGAAATATGCACCTGTATTAAGGAGAGGTAACTCTAGAACATGTATAGAGTGCCATCATACAAAATGAACAATTTTTACCAGCAGAATTTATCTGAAATATTTGAACATCTTGTAACTGAGAAATACCTGACTTATGGAAACAGACTCAACTTCATGGTAATACCTGGAATTTTACACTGTGGTTCCATTTGTACCAGTTCTAAGTATCTGAAAACCAAATTTTTGTAATGGAAATTGTAATTAAATACTAGTTTCAGTTATTATTACTATTAGACATCCACCTAAAACAATAAAGAATATGAAATGAAGAGCATTAGGCTTTTCTTATAGGATATGCTGTGCTTTAAAACTTATTTTATTGATCCTAAAGTTACAAGATCAATTACTGACATTTTCTTGAGGATCAATCTTGGATTAAATGGCAAAATGAAGAATAGGTTTTCATATGTACTATATCCAAAAGCAGAAACAGATTGCCATTCTCATGTGAACATTCAGAAACCTTTTCTTATTATTAAACAGTATGTCTGAAATATATCTAAGTTATACCAGCCGCCATAGCACTTTTTGGTGAACCAAAGAAGTCCTACAGTGAAATCAAACTTTGAGTAAAATCTGTACTACTTTAATACAGTTTCCCTCAAACATAATTTTTTCCTGTTTTTAGATTAATGTATATTCTGTCTGTCAATTACAATGCAAAGTATAAGTAAGATTTAAGCAAGGATGTTGGAGTGTGAAAATAATTCATGTGAATTGCTAATAGGCTGGTGGGAATAAATTATTTCCACATGAAGGCAAATCCTGTCTCATCAAAGACAGCAGACTTGATTTTCCACTGTTTCAGACCTTGACTAGCCACTACTACCTGCAGAAGGAACACGAATGCTGAGAGCTGAAAGCTACAAAATCAGTATTTCACTGTGACCAAAACAGTAGTATTGAACCTATTCTTCCCTCCCTTTGAACAGATGTGAGTACAGCTGGAAGCAAATTAAAACAACAAGCCATAAGGCAAAAAGAAGTCATTACTTCAGATAGGCAAAATGGAGATTTGATAGCACATACATGTTTCTTTTCCCTTCTCCATGGTTTTGCCAGTTAAGGCAGAAGCCTTGCAGTTATCACCTTTCAGTGACAGGAATTGATCAGGTTTGTGTTCACCTTGACAATCCTGTGATGGAGAATGGGAAATAAAGGGACAGTATGAGTCCTCTCAGGTAATTAACCTAAGCTCTAATGCTTCCCACACCAGCCTATTTTCAATTTTGGCACAGTATAGTTCATACACTCTAACATTATTGCTCAGAAGATAGAATGATGACTCAGGTTTACTAAAAACAGCTTCACAATACTGCAATCATGCCTGTGAAGCTTCATCTCATATCCTGTATTTGTAAGTTTCTTCTCACTGAGAAATAAATTTGTGTGGTGTTTTGTATTTTGTCAGAAAAGTTAGTCACCAGACACCTGAAACACTGATATACCATCTTTAATAAAACATGGCTTGTTTGGTCAATTTGCCTGCCAATTCATTTTCCTGCTTTTAAAAACATGTGTATAACACCACAGCTGACCTCTGTTAATACTGCTGTCCATAGAAATCACAAATAACTGAGAAATTATATGCCACTGCTGCATCCTGTCATGCCAGAAGATCGAGATTACTTTGAAGATTATTTAGAGTAGGTGTTACATATCATTTGTGCCCAGATCCACTGAAGTCAATGAAACAACGCCTACTGGCTTCTGTGGGAGTCTGACTTGGACATTATTCTGGCAATCTGTCCACCACTAAATTAAACTATTCCAGGGATAAAAGCCCAAATGAAGAAAAGTAGAAATTTAAGAACTAAAACTGAGCTGCAAATAAATATTCAATGGCATCCTGAAAAGACTTAAATAAAACACAAACACACTTACACAGGCATGTACACACACATACATACAAAAAAAATTTATGACTTTAACAATCTTAAAAATCCATAGTCTAAAATTGTTTACATTTAAACAATTGAGCATAATAGGTAGCTTTCTTGACTTTCCATTTATTTCCCTGAGCACTGATCTTTGGAACATCTGGAGTTTCAGAATTGTCTAGTTCATAATTCCTAAAATAACTATCTTAAGTAAAATGCTGTCTTTTTATGACAAAAAATCCATTCCTTAAGTAAAACTAGGATACAACTTCCATGAACTACAATGTATGTAGCCAATTTTTAAAAAAACAACAACTATTATCACGCATCTGCATCTGTATTTAGGCACCTAGCTGGTTTGTCTGTTTTTCAAAATCACTCTGCAGTCTAGCAGTTCCCATTTAATTCAGTATCAGGTACTATGCTGTCTCATAAACTCATTCAATTGGAGACCTACATAAGAATTTAGTTTCTCTGCTTTACTCATTTTGCAAAATCTCGTTTGTATGAGCAATAAAGTATGCTATGGAATTGGTCTTGTGCCTAAATCAATATTACAGGCAAAGATTACTGGACTTCTTACTTTCCCATAAGGGGTTAAGAAGGTGCATCTGCAGAGAGGCAGCATGAAACCAATCTTCAGTACTAAAATGGGACCTAGCTAGGGCATATGTTTTAGACTGGCATTCCACACCAGGAAATCTACTGGCCAAAAGGAGCTCTATTTTAAATTTCTGCTATTTAGAACTACTCAACAAATTGGCAACTGCTGCTTTTCACTCTCTTCTCTAGACTAGAGCTTTAAATGTGAGCTTCACAGACATCAGTTTGCAACTTTAAGACTTTTCAGGCATTCTGCATTTTAGATTATACAAAGTGTGCAAGTCAAAACATTTTAGAAAACAACAGTGCAGAGGTTTTTTGACTATTTTAGAATCAAATCTCTCTCTCCAGTTCTAGGGCTGCAAATTACGTCAGCCTCTCTGCAGCTAAAAAGTTCAAAATCATTTTCCATGAACCACAGAAATAGACCGTAACTTTGCATACTCTTGACTCCCTCTCCACTCTGTCTCCCCTCCTCTTCCACCTTCCCCCCACCCCCCCAGCCCCTGGGTAGCTGATACACTGGCATTATGCAGCAGGCTCCAAACAAAGGATTAACAAAAAGATTATTTTGTAATACTTCATTTCAATATACCTTAACTGGAGTTATATACCTTAACTGGGGTGTTGAACCAAATGCAAGCAGGAGAGTTGCTATTTGGTTTTGCATGCAAGCCTGTGTCTGTTCTCAAATGATGTAATAAAATATGCCGCATCTGATTCTCTTTCATTAGCACTTATTTTATGCTATCTGGTACTGGCATTCCACAGCAGAATCCAAAAAGGAGGATTTAGCACTTCTTCTCTTTCCAGAAACCCTTTTTAATACTTCAAAGTTCACTAAGAGTTAACAGCATACGATCCCATCACTTTCCCCCTCCCCCTTTTCAGAAATTAGACTGGCCTTTCTTTAAATAAACAAACAAAACAAACAAACAAACAAAATCCTTGCTTTAAAATAGGAGTATAAATACTGTTTTGAAAACACATTTGGAAGATGTCTTCCAGGATGGTTTATATATATATATATATTTCATCCTTTAAAACTGTGACTACTGCACCAGTTAAGGCTGTTTACAATATATATATTTTTCAAATAAAATTTTAATATTCAAGCTTACCAGATTGATGAATTGTAACAGGTAAAATGGAACTCTTTACAAGGTAAACCATGTAGTTGTACAAAATAGAATTATACCCTTCACCTGTGCAAAACAAAAAGAAATCCTGCCTTGCATTAAAAACACAGAACCTGTTTACAAAAAGGAATGTGTACTACATTTGGACTTCCTTTTTAACTGCCATATCCTAGCAACATCTCAGTTATTTTAGTAAAGGAACTAATCATCAATTTTAAACTGCAGTGAATTTACCAAACATTTTCACTATAGACTTCTGAAAGCTTTTACAGTAAGAAGTTATCAACAAAAGCAGGCACGTTAGTGTACAAAAACGTTGTTGATTTTTTTCCTGTTTCTTTTTCAAAGTGCAGGTTTTTCTCAATGTGCATCTTACAAGACCAACGAATGTTTTAACTCACTAAATCTTAAAACAGAACTCAATTCTCCCAAGGAGTAGTGTAAACGTTAAAGATCCCCAATACACCTCTAGTAAACGTGACACAAATGTCTCTGCGTTGTTTAGAAATTTAGCTCTTTTGAGAGGTAAAGAAGCTTCATGACACCTTTTCCTTACACTGGCTGGTTATCATAAATGGGTAACTCTGGACTGCTAAAGCTGGAGACTGATGAATCACTCGAAGGGAACTAAACTTGGCTACAGAGGAGAGGCGACGGGAGGAACCAACCCTTAGGCGTTTCTTGCGCAGCCTTCGGAAAATTCAGCCGCCGGCGGACGAAGGGTCGGTGTGAGGGAGGGCGGGGGGGAGAGAAGAGGAGAGCAGGGAGGGAGGGAGGAGAAGCTTCCGCAGAGCCAGAGGCACGGCGGCACGCCGCCCGTGTCCCGCTGCGCCCGCGACGGCGGGACCATCCCGTCGGTGGTGCGAGAAGTGTCCCCGAGCCCCGCGGCTGCGGAGCGCTGGCGGGCCCGCTCCCGGCCGTCACGGCGATCCCGGGGCCGGGCGGGGAGCCGGGCGTCCCGGCGGCGGCGGCGGCAGGCGCTAGGTGCCGTGAGCGCAGGGCTCCCCGGGGTAGATCTCCTCGTAGGCGGGGGGCTGCTCGCTGGGCAGAGGGTAGCAGTAGGGATAGGAGGCGTTGAGCTCGGGGTCCATGGGCGAGTAGCCGGGCAGCTCGACGGAGGGATGTCCGCCACAGTGCACCTCCACGCCGGCCTCGTCGAAGACGTGGAAGACGCCCACGTTGATGTAGGAGACGGCCTGGAATGGGCAATCCCCGGGGCTGAGCTCGGGCTCGCCGCCGGAGAAGAGGGAGCCCTGGCTGTGGCGCGGCGCCCGCCGCCCACCGCCGCCGCCCCTCCGCCGCCGCCGCCGCCCGCCCGCCGCCGCCGCGGCCGGGGCCGCTCGCCGCCGCCGCCGCCTCCGTCCGCGCTGCTGCGCGGCCTTGTAGTTCTTGACAAGAAGCAGGTTAAGCAGGCCCAGGAGGCACTCCAGCGCGTTGAAAACGGTGGAGAGCACCAAGCCTTGCTGGTAGTCCCGCAGCTTCTGGCAGCGGAGCGCCGCGGCGGTGCCGTCGGGGGCCGCGGGTCCGCTCCGCGGGCGGGCCGCGCCGCCGGGCTGCAGCAGGCAATAGTGCGAGTACTTCCTCTCCACCAGCGACACGGTGTCGCCGTCGATGACGGCGCCGGCGAAGGCGCTCAGCACGCCCAGCATGAACACCAGCACCCCCAGAAGCAGGAAGTTCTGCCGCCCCCCGGGCGACGCCTTCTCCACCGGCCCCGACGGCGCGGCCGCCGCCTCCGCCCCGCCGGGGCCGCCGCTGGCCGGGTCCGGGTCCCCGGCGGGGGCCAAAGCAGAGGCCGGTGCCGGCGCTGGGGCCGGTGCCGGAGCCGGCGCCACGGGCGCCTCGTCGGGCGGGCGACAGCAGAGCAGCGCAGCGGCGAGCAGCGAGAGGCCGGCGGCCAGCAGCAGCCCCGAGTAGAAGGCGCCGGCGGCGGTGCCCAGGCGGAAGGGCTCGCCCTTGAGCTCGGAGCCCAGCGAGAAGCACTTGAGGCCCACGGCGGCGGCGCTGAGGGCGCAGGCGAGCAGGAGGCAGCTGGAGAGCGCGGCGCAGGCTCCCCGCACGCTCCACTTCATCCTCCGCGCCGCCGCCGCCGCCGCCGCCCCGCCGTCCGCCTCATCCTCCTCCCGCGGCCCCCCCCGGCCCCGCGGCGGCGGCGGCGCGGCGCGGCGCGGCCATGCGAGCGCGGCGCTCCCCGACGGGGCGGCTGCGCTCCGCTCCGCTCCGCACGGCAGGCAGCTGCCGGCCGCAGTGAGCCGGGCGCGGCGAGCGCGCAACGCTCCCCCCACCGCCTCCCGGTCGCCGCCGCCTCCTCGTCCCCGCCCGCCCTCTCTTATCGCGGCGGCTGCGGGGAGGCGATTAATTATGGATGGAAGCCGCGGCGGGCGGGGGGACGGAGGGGGCGGCCCACCGGGCCGTCGCGGGTGGCGGGGGGAGAGTGCGACCCCCGGTGAGGCCGGGGGCGGTGGAGCTGCCCAGCCCGCCCTCCCACCCGCGATGCGCGGGAGGGGCCGCTCGTCGCTCTCCGGCCGGCCCCGCACCGCGGAGCGCGGCTCGGGACGCGCGGCTGGGCAGGGGGTGGCGGGGGTTTGAACACCCCCGCGGGTTCCGTTGCCGAGGGCTGCTGCTTGGCTCTGTGTTCCTGCCTTCTCTCCCTCTGTTAATCTTATTTATTTATTTCTTAGCTCTTGCGGTCGGCAGGAGGCCGGCGAGCCGCCGTGCATCGCTGTGACCGCGCTGCGGTCTGTCGGCCGCTGTGATGCAGCGAGCGAGCGGACCGAGCCCCCCACGCCGCGCTGCCCGGCGCAGTGCTCCGTGCCGGCGGGGGCGGCCGTCCCCAGCAGCCCTCTTTGTTTCGGGCACCGCCGGTGAGCCCCTGTGGGGTTGCACCCCGTGGGCGGCGGGGCTCGAGGGACGGACGGACGGCCACAGCAGCACCCTCGGGACGCCCCGTCCGGGAGCGCCTGCAGCGCTGCCGGGGGGGGGAGCCTGTTCGGGGGGGGGTGCCGCCAGCTGCCCCGGTAGATGGTGGCCCGGCGACTCCTCGGGGAGCGCCTGCAGTGGCCTTGTGAAGGAGAGGCTGGAACCTCAGCCTCGGAGGGGCGAGTGTGGCAGGGGGCTCTTGAGGAAGGCTCTTCTTCGCCAGTCCTTTTTTCTTCCGGGAAGCTCTAGCCTTTCAGCTCCCCCATTTTCCCTATCTGCCGTGCGCACGCCAGCCTTGCTGGGTATTTTTAGCCGGCGCCGCTGATTAGCATTCTGGGGAGCAAGCGAGAGAGAAAAAGCAGTTTTCCAAATCGTTTTCTCTTCCAGCAGAGCAGGTGCACCTGTTGGTGGCAGGAGGGGCGTGTGTGGCGTTTTATCCGGTGTTTAGCTTTCTTCAGAGATGTGACATTGCTCCCTCTGTCTCGTCGGGGTAGGCCCTCTTGGCACCTCCCTGAGGACAGCAGCGCCCAGCTGTAATCTCCCTGGGCAGAGGGGCACTGGTCTCCTTTGCAGCGGCTGCTCCTCCCCGAGACAGGTTTCTGTGCCCTGCGTGGGGCACTGGTGCTCCCAGGGACGCTTGGTGGGAGGCTGTCCTGCCTGGCGTCCAGCTCTCTAAAGGTTACAGTATCCAGAAGTATCATTGGCTCAGTATCCAAAAGGTAATATCCAAAGGGATGCGCCATCCTGCCCTGCAGGACCACGCAGCCGAGGGAATTTTACTCTCTCCCTCCTGTTCACAAAAGGCCCATGGAGCATGGAGTATGTGAGAAAACACAAAAGTCCTGACTGGCCTTCTTGTGTCCCTCGAGAAAGGTATGGCTGGGTATGTGATTTCCAGTCATCCTCGACCCTTCCCAGGTTTTCCCTGACCCTGAGGACTGGGTGTCTCGGCCTGCTCATCTGTGGCCGGCTGAAGATTTTGCTATAGGATCTGTGACTTTGGCTTTGCTAGTGGTGAGTGCCTGGACTGCTGTGGACGATATTCAGGTTCCGGGAAAGAACTCACCCCATCACTCTTAAAACATGAATGCACAGAGGACACACAGGATTTTATAAATTACAGTATGCATTGCTTGAGATCTCTATTGAGCATCAAAATATTGCTTCAGAAAGCACAGGTAAACTCTCAAACCAGCTGTTAATCCAGAGAACCCTGGTAGACACACTCTGTGTGGAGGATGAGGAGATGTATTTAGTGGGGAGCAAACACTTAATGAACTAATTATATGTAGAATGTGCAAAGTGCCTTACTCCCTGACACACAAGATAAACTTACATGTGGGGGAAATGTGTCATTTGTATAACTTGATTATCAAGACCTTAAAAAAGTGAAATATTTGTTGTGGCAAGTGGTGAGAAGATTAATTTAACACTAAATAAATACAAAACTAAGAAAAGTCCTAAGCCTTTATGCATCATTTTATTAATCAGCCTTTAACTTAACAATGGTTAGAGTAGAAAAAGCAAACTTTCCACTGGCAGCAAATTGTTCCCTTTTTGTACAAAGCGTTCATCTTGGTGTTCCTTTCCATCTAGTTTTGGCAACCACCAGAAGTAGTCAGCAAGACTTATCCAGCATGGTTCTTCAGGCGTTCCTACAGCTGTTTCTCGTGTTCAGTCTTCCTCATCTTTAATGTCATCTTCTAAAGAAAGGACCTTTTCCTCCCTGTGTTTGTAATAGGAGACTGAACTTTAATTGCATCCCACAAAGCTGTGCATTGTGAGAGGCCAGGCTAACACACAAAGTTAATGCAATTAATAATTCCGCTGTACCTTTTAATTTCTCCTGTGGAGTAGCTTGCTACTGTTAACATTTTCCAGCTTTACCTGCTTCACCCCAAAATGCCTCTTTTTCTTCCAAGCACCATGTTCAATATGCAAAGCCAGAAGTTTCACTGCCAACTTGTTTCGCCACATGTTATTTATTCATAAACTTTCTGTGTTTCGCTGCCACTCCGAATTAGCCCAGTTTTTCACCAGGTTATTTACAGCTTTGCACTGTGACACATTTTCAGTAACACACACATACACATAGACAGGCACACAGACTATGGTCATTAGCATATCCTGCACATTGAAGGTCAGTTGCTTTGGATAACAGGTCAAAAAACATTGTAATGATGTTGGTGCATTAATAATAATAGACATAAGACTCTGTAAAACACCCATATACCTATACTGAATGATTTGTTGATGACCGAATTGGCATTACTATAAAAAGAAGGGCTGACCTACTGTTGCAAATGAAGGTCACTGAAGAGTTCTCTGGACCCCAAAGAGTAATGCTGGTCACCTCAGTCCTAGCTAGTGGCCCCTTCCAGTACAATTAGGATGCCCTTTTGCATGTTCATAGCTGATCTGTGTGTGTCTAATTCTTCAACCAGGTCTGCCTGCTGAAAAAAAATAGTATCTGTGAGCAACAAAGGATGGGAGAACTGCAGGCCACTTGGCCTTGACAGACATCAGTTGCTAAATTAGTCATTGCAGGTAGTTTTGAGTCCCTGGCAGCTGTTTTATCTCTGAACTTTATTAGTCATGTTTTCCTTTTCCAAAGTTCATGAGTTGTTTTCAAGAGTTATTCTGGTGGGCTTTGGAGCAAGTGTATAAGGTTTTGTAGAACAGCACCAGCCTGGAGCATAACTGTTGTCTCTTCACAATCATGGTCGGGGCTTTCTGGGTGTTGCAGTGGTAGTCATTTATGGCCAGGTCCTGTCTCCAAAGAATGATAGGAGATCTTTGGTTCAAGGTTTTGTTTGGCTCACAGGGGAGCTGAGGGAGCTCTGCTTGTTGGGTTAGGTGCCTTGTTGGGGGTAGTCACTGCCATGACCAGCTGGGTGGCTTGCTTTGCTTGCTGTGCACAGAAATTAATGTTTTCAGTAATGTGGAGATCAGCCTCTTAACTTTTTGTGTCGACTCAGCGGCACAAAGGACAACAGAGCTATTAATTATTTGCACTCTAGGCTTGAAGTTAAAATGCGTGCTTGTAAAATAGATGGAGATCTTCAGCTTATGCCACCAAAGTACGTTGCATTATTTTATTGTCTGCCTCTTCTCCCACACTGTGTTTATGATAAGATATATGTGTTGTTATTTCTGTGCCAGTTTGATAAACAGTTGTCATAGCTTTAACTATTCAGTCATGATGGCTGTGTAACCTACCATAACTTATTCTGTTTCCTACTACTTTTTCCTTTTATTTTTTTCCCCTGTTTCCATAGGGGACATTATGGGCTGTAAAATCTCCTTGCAAAAATTGCTGCACACACAGTTACTAAGAATACATTAGAAATTAGAAATTTGAAACTCTGAATGTGAAACCCATCGCATTTCTTTCTGATTCTTCTTATTTCCCATTTACAAGGTCTACAAGCATATTTCTGTGTGCCAGAGGCCTGCTGTTCTCTAATTTTCAATATATTTTATGGGAAAGACTCATCTCTGCAGGGAATTTATGGAGAACACATGCTAGAAAAGGACCTACATAAGGCTAAAAGTCTGGACCTAACTGGTTGCTGGGCACTGATGAAAAAACATCTGCAAATGCTGTTTCAATGGGTGACATTTCAGAGAGGTTGGGAAGATAATATAAGGATTTAAAATAGAGAAAGCAAAGCCTGTGGTAGAAGCTGAACATGTAAGGCTTTCCTGGCAGCTGTTAGTGCTAGGAGTTTTGGAAAAGGGAAGAAATGTTTGAGAAGTTAGGGTTATAAAAAAGCGAGCTGGTTTGCACTCTAAGATCATGGTGTCATTTAGGTTGGAAGGGACCAGTAGAGGTGTCTAATGAGACCTGCTCAAAGCAGGCACATCTTTGGGGTTGGACTTGGGTTGCTTGGGGTATTTGATACTATTTGATATATTACTTAAACAATGGACTTCTTTACTTATGTCACAAAATTGTTAAATTATGGCAATTTTTTGAAAACTAACAGTTTCCTAACTACTGTTCTAATGGTGGGACCTGGGTGGTATTTTGTTGTGTAGGTTGTAAGAAGTTGTTAAGCTGGTCATAAAAGATTGTTGAACACTTTACCAGCCAAAGGTGTCTCAAAGTCCTTCACTTTGGGCTCTCAGATTATTTTGAAGTGTGTTTCAGTTTAGTCTTTCTGTTCAGTTCAGTCTACATA